CCACGCGTAGCTTCGAGCATGATTAGCGTCATTTTTTTTTCACGCCAATAATAGTGATAAATTATTCCTCTCTGTTCGTTTTACTTTTTTTCAACCGAAACACTTGTCCGCAAACGTTGGTGTATCTAAGCCTCGACTGATTACTCGTTTTTTTTACGAATCTCAAAAGAGATAGAATAATTAGTCAAGCCTCTTATCAATTATAATTTTAAATGTATGTAGTCTCTGATATTTTTATATTTACTACGAATTGTTAGGAAAAGTATTATAATTTAAAAAGGTTTTTAAAATCATTTAATGTTTTATTTATTATAAAAAAACGTAGAAATGAAATGAGCTCGAAAAAAATTTTAATGAATGTAAATTTCTTAAAGTTCAACGGCGTTGTATGAAAAACTTTGCACTATTTTTACGATGGTAAGTTTATAAAAATATTAAGATTCGTCTACTACACTTGTAAATTAACTTTTAAACGATGATAGCTGACATGATATCAAACTTTCCTTATTTATTTATAAGTTGAAAAATATTTATTAATGATTTCAGACGTGGAATGATAGAATTATCCTGAAAAATTAATAAAATTAAGATATCACTGTCTTAAGAAAATAATTTTAAGAAAATTAGATTAATGAATTATTATTGTGTTTTAAAATTCCCTTAAGAAATTAAGTGGAAAAGACACGGTGGCTTTGTCGTATGAAAAATAAGTATGCTGAAGTATAAAAAAAGTATCTGCCAGTAAATTTTACCGGATATTAAATAATACAGAGTAATTTTAAAACTCCAACATTTTAATATTGATTTAATCATAGACACTTAATTGTCCATGTGAGAAGTTTAAATAAAAAATGAATTGCTTATAAAAACATCTTCAACCCATTAATTACATTTAACAATATACGATACAACTGAACAACTCCACTGTAACAAGTATACGCGTATGTTCATTTGTGTATGTGTGTATATGTATATTGTACTCAGCAAGTATAGGTAGGGTAAAACCTGCGATGTTGTCTGTGCGCTTCTCGTGTGGGGGGGGTACGGATAATTATTACGAGGCGAATTACTCGGTCGCGTGCAATTACGGGGTGCCATAGGAGGAGCAGCATGACACACGCGCGCGCGTTGCGCCTTTTCGCTTTGCCTCATAAATGTTGCAAGCTCGTCGCGGCGCATCCCCAATCCTTCATGTTTGCTATATATATGTCTAGTCCGCGCGTGCGATATGTATAATGTATGTGTGTGCGCACATGTATACGAGGTAAAAAAATTTTTATCGACTCGAGTGTAATTTCACTGGTTCGAGCCGTCACTTGCTGTAGTATTTTTTACCGTTGACAATTGGAAATTCCCAAGTTTAATAAGTCATTAAATAAATCAAGCCATTATATTTTTGTCAACAGACTCACGAATTTTATTTTATTTTTTTTTTAACAATACCAACATTTTTATCTTGGAGCAATGGATATTTTCAACAAATATGTCATAAAAAAAAAAATCATCATCCGCAAATTTATAGCAAATGCCACACGTGTGTTTACAGCTGCAGTATTGGGATTACGAAAAAATTAACACCTAAATTTTATGTTTGTTCTGGCTTTTAAAAAATTAAAAAAATTGTTGTATCGAAAAATAAAGAAAGTTTTTCTTAGGACAATGCATTCTTTTGCATTGATCAAATATAAAATGTAAAAAACCATCGTTACATAATGCGTATAAATTAAGTGGATTAAATTATATACATATAAAATTAAATTACTTTTCTTACAAAAGTAGGGTGTAAGCTATAAAAATTCCTGGATAATAATAGCCCTTTTTATTTATGATGCAAAAAAATTTAATTTTTATGTTCTATTTTTCTTGCAGTATTACTTGGCAACAAAATTTTCATCGAAATTTGCATAAAACAACATTATAATTTAATAATATTCAATTAATATTCAGCTTCAGTTTTATCTGAGTATAATTATGTATTACAAAGTGACGAAAAAATTTTTAAAAATGCCGTCACTTATTTTCTGATACACCACATTTTTCAAATTAAAATCTTTGACCCTCAGGGAGAGAAAAAAATGTTTTTTACAAACCATTAGAAAAATTTTTTCATTGGTATTACACATAGTTCCATTTGAAAAATGTCCTTCTCGAAACCTGTAGGTATACAGTTCAAAGAATCCGATCTTTATCGAAAATTCAAACGAAGCCACTTTTAATACGCAACCCTTCCTTCAACCCTTAACAGTCCCCACGTGTGTGTATGTATAAACGTATGATTAAACGTATAGATAACTAAGCGGGGATACAACAAAACACCCGCCATAGCCCTTATGACGGACTCACCCTTTCTGGTCACTGTACGTGCGTCAGGTGTTGTTGTTCTCCTCTCGTTCATTACTTTTTCATCGAGGGCTGAATTCGTGAATAATTTCGATACAATCGCCCAAACGTCGGAACTCGCCGGTTTGTTGAATAATATGTGTGTTACCTTGTAGGTAATTTGTGTTAAAAATAATCGAGGATGATCGTTATTGCGATGTTTTTCAATACAATCAAAAGGACCAACATTTTTGCCGTATAGTGTATAGTTCATCGTTTATACTTTTTATACGAAAATTTTGACCTAATCCAATCATCCGTGTACATTTTGGAAATTGAAGTAAATTAAAACGATGGAGTGGATGAAAAAATTTTCGATGTTGAGGAATTCAATAATTTTATCTCGAAAGCCAACTTATAGAGGTGTACGATTGATTTTTATCGTAGATTTATATCAGATCCATCACTTGGAACTGCTCAAAACCTGCAGAGGGAAATGAAATGATTTATTTGGATTTCGGTCGAAGGAAAAGTTAATAAAATTCAATTCAAAGTCAACTTTTCATTAATAGATGAAAATTGAAAACTCTAGGCTGCAGCTACCTTGGGTATACTAAAGACATGTTTTTATTAAACAAATGCAATTTCGTTAGGCCGATGCCAAGTACAAGAGTGTCAAGGTGTACCTACATAGTATTTTGATTCGCAAATGACTTGTGCGTAAAACTCATAAAAAAAAAAAAAAAGATCTCGTAAAATTTGAACTGACAGAAGGTATTAAGTATTGCTTTGTTCTAGGATCGAAGAGCAAATTATAGTCTATGTAGTCTATAATTTGCAGATACACGGAAACATCTTTAACGAGACCTGCAATTAATTCATTAGAAACTGAAGTGGATGTATGTATAGTAGCAAAAAAAGAAAAATAATAGTATAATTTTGCGGAAATTATTTATCTATTGGATTAGTCAGTTCAGCCATGGATAGGTGTAGTTGTATGCAATGGTGTGGTACACTATAAATAAAATCTGCCAAGTACAATATTATAGTATATATAGTAGCAAAATTGACTGGCGTATGCAATCCATTCGCTCCATAAATATTATTTTAATTATTACTTAAATTATAAATAAAATGTCATGAATTGGTCACTTATATTAATTCTAAAAAGTTGTTAAAAATACAAATTCATTAATTTTATTACAAGATTGTACTAAGGCACACGGAGTGGGACCATAGAGATGTAGAATTTTATAGGTATTAATACTAACACTAAGGCATATACGTATACAAGAGAATATAGACGAGGAAAAAAAAATAGTGATTGAAATATAGTCCTTAACAGGGAACGAAAAATGGCCCAAAATGGCACAAGGCGCTAGTTCTTAGATTCAATTAAAAACTAAGCTTTGACAGCCACTGAGTACCCAATAATTAAAATAAATTGATAAATAGTTCAAAGAACCGTTTTTATTATGTTCTTAATTTATATAAATTTATTTCTTCCTAGTACACATGTTAGCAACGATTAATTTTTAAAGTCGTTATATCATATATTTACGACGAAAACAACAAAGTGTCGAGATTTGAATTGTCGGTCAGAACATTCAGATTTATTTTTGTCCCATTTAAAAAATTGTTTTAAACTACATAATTAGTTATCTATGTGATGATAAAGGTGATTTTGACTTAATACTCTTCGTTGACATTTTCTAACACTTTTTCCAGCTGTGCGGTGAAAATGGTGTTTTGGACATTTCGACATCAACTCATTACAACAAGATAAAGCGTAGCATTCAGCAAGTTGGGCTTGAGGTTGATAAACTATTTTACTTCTAGCTAAAGAAAATCAAATCACTTTCCAATGGTTTTTTTTTTTTTTTTTTGCGACGATACAATAAGAAAAGAACCCAAATGTTCTACATCTAGTAGCCCTCTATCGCAATTACAGTCTCCCCTCGACCTATAAACGCAGTATTACGATCAACAGTGCGGGTACCTGACAGCGAGGGGGAAAAAACACGTAGGTATAAGCGTATACACCTCATACGTAAAAAAGAGGTGCGTGCGATGAAAAAAAAAAAAAAAAAAAAAAAAAAAGTACCATTGCGTGATTGACGACCACTGTACTATGTATGTTACAATTTTCACTGGCCCTTCATTTCTCCACCCCTGCGTACTATACGCTGTACACGTATATTAATCGAGCGTTGCTCCTCTTTCCTGTCCCGTAATTGTAGCCTATTAGTATGTATTATTCGTGCGTTTGCCCACACTATGTTGTAACACCAATGTATGATAAAATAGCTGATATTATCGTAGAGAAAACAAAAAAACTTTCGCCTCATTTTACTTGTTTGATGAATTTTAAACAATATAACCAATATAAGTTTCGTTTGATTATGTAGGGTAGGTATATACTGTACATTTTTACAGTGCCATTGATCAGGCCATGAGACTTTGAGACACGGCTGTGGTTAGTACAACAAACAGAATACACAGCGCATGTGTTTTTACGGTAAGTGCCATTGGACGATAACTAGAAGGACACTTTTTGACATTACCGATGACAATACGATTCTGATAATCATTATCGTTCAATCTCGGAACCCGGCGATGGTGTTTAATTGAAAAATGGCTCGATCGAAGAGGACCAGGAAAAAAAGAAAATATTCTCGTTTGTAGAGCATTAAATATTATTTAATTATAATTATTTGTTTTGAAATGAAAATACACAGTTTCGTTAATCTTTAAAGTATTATTTTTTTGGTCATTATCAGTTAAAATGAGTAGTTTGATGGGTGAGACGATTGGCTTCTTAAGCTCCTCGGTTGGCCATCAGACAGGCGGCCATTTTGCAGTTGTCGTTCTTGACTGAAATTCGAAAAACAAGACGTGACAATCAAGTGGAAATGCGTGAGTTTTAAATAATAGTTTGATGGCTCCGTGCCATTGATTATTGTACCTTGTGTCTTGCAGGTGTTGAGGGCCTTGTGGAGGGTGTCCAGGTTCAAGTTGAATTTGGTGCGGAGGGCATCCTCGTTGAGGCTTCCATCGGCCTTCATCTGTGGCGAAAATAAAAAAAAATAATCATGAGTTCTCAAGTACGATGTTGCAAACGAGTTGCTTTGCACGTGTATGCGATATTCACCAAGTTCATCTTCTTCATCATGCAGGAGTAGTAGCAGTTCCTGTTCTGCTCCTGCTTCTCGGGCACTTTGACATTCCTCATGCCATTGGGGTATTGTTCTGTGGAGTAAAATGGATTTTTTTTTTTTCTATCATGTCAAACTTTTTTTTTTAAATAACGAAGCGTATCTTGTGCTTACGTGGGTCGAATCCGTTCTCGATCAGGCAGGATTTGATGTAGTCTTTGTTGATGTCCTTGATCGGGTCTTCCTGTTTTTTTAAGATAGAAAAAGAGGTTTTATGTCTAACTTGGGCAAGTAAATCAGTTATTTTAATGCTTTAGAAAATAATCATTTCTTAAAATTATGGGGTATCAATGGTGATGGAATTTTTTTTTTTTTTTTAGTACAGTTTGTAACATGATGCGTAATAAAAATTTTTATAGGAATAGTAATGCATATTTGAAAATAAATAGTTTCGTAAGAAATATGTGAAAACGTAGTGTATGAAAAATTTCACAATCTTCGAGACTTTGAGAACGAAAATACTGAAATTAATGCACACAAATTGAGATCCAATGTATTATAAATCTCAAGATATTAATAAAATCATACAATAATCCTCGAATTTAAATTTAGATATTAATTTTTTGGACTACATTTGTAAAGAGAGGGAATATATTTCTTTAACGATGATTTAAATAATATTTTCATTAAAAATTACATGAGAGAAGTCAGAAAAGCAACTGTACTATCAAGTACATTGACAAAAATTATGCGTTATTTCAAAGTTTCAACAATTGTTGAATAAATTTACTGTTGTTTATCTCTTTTGATGGAAACTATGCTGAACACTATGATTTAAATGAACTATTTTACAAAAAAATTATAGATGACTGAAAAATTTCATACGATTTAAAATGATCATGTAATGGAAAAAAAAAATGGAAAAAATACAGTAGCCCATGAAATGAAAATGGCATCCTAAATCAGGTGGACTATTATCTTGAAAGTACAATGGTAAGAAACAACGAAGGCACAAAATTTTGAGGGACCATCAAAAAGTCAGAAACAAAAACGCGAGAGGGATGAATAAAAAAAAAAAGGGAATATACTCACAGCAAAGACAGCAACGACGCAAGCGGCCAGGAAAATAACAACGGCGGTCCTCATGATGCTGGATGTGCTCGAAAAAAAGGCAACGGTAGACTAGACGTGCAGGGGTATCGCAGAGGAACTCTGAATGACGGGCCGCATCGGCGGTTCCGCGCTTATATAGCCGGTGCCCGGACCACCACCGATATGCCGTGGCTCAATTGACAAATTGTGGTGTTGACCTGGAAGCTGCCGACACTCTCTCTCCCTTCCTCTTGCTTGCTTGGACATCTACCCATCGTTTAAGGCTCTTTCTTCTTTGATTTCGCGCTTACGCGCCATTATGTCATGTACCCCCGGGCGCAAAAGGGCTTTGAGCGAAAAACAATACGCCGTGTGGGTGCATGACATACTACGTGCTCCGATTGGGTTTCGGATGTGGAGTCGGTTTGTAGGGCAGCGAGCCAGTTCGAGCCTCTTTAGCGCCCATCAGCGTCGTTATACTCCTCTCGGCCCTTCTCCCGTGCCCGCCGCTGATTCGTGCAATCAAAAGACGGCAACAATAATATGCAACGAGGTATATTCTCGTTACTTTTGCTTCCTGGTTTATTTGTTTCATTTTTGCCGATCTCAGCGTTTCGTGGAACGTTTTCGTTTCATTCCGTCGATACACGCCTACACATGTGTGTGTGTATTAATTATTACCTTAAACAATATAATACCGAGCTTGCATTTTTTTTTTTTTTTTTTTTTTTTTTAAAACCAGAAAAGTTTCTTTATCCATTGGAGATTTTTTTTGTTTTTTCGTTTGTAAAAATATTTATTTCGGGTTATTGAAAGAAAAAATATTAATTTTGCGAAAAAAATATTCTTTCAGATGGATTTGTATTTTTTTGATTGAAAAAAAAATGTCCAAAGCAAGAAGGGTAAAGAGATGTTTTTTTTTTGTTTCGAAGAAATCAGGCGCTCGGTGATAAGTGTTCCTATGCGGGCGACAATTTTTTAGGAATTTTTTGGATAGTCTGTGATTATGAGTACAAAATTATAACTGTATATGCCTTCATCGTGGTTACACGTGTGCTTTTTTGTTTCAGAATAACATGTAATTTTTTTTTTTTTTTACTTAAATTGCACGCTCGACGGAACTATCTGCTTATGAGATACTAATAGCAGTTGATAACAGTTTCAGTTACGTTCGTTGCCAACTATTTCATCAGCATAGAAAAGAAAGAAGAGGTCCATCCAAAAAAACTGTATTTTTCCGTTTGAGATACAATAAATACATCAGATACTTTTGCCAATACAAAAAGATGTTTACAACGTGTCACAGAAAAAGTTTGTTGTTTTATGATTCAAAATTTTATCAATCAATAATTTGTTTGTAGGTGTCTATTTTAGAATTTAGATAATCAAAGCGATTCTCACCATTTTGAAAAAATTTTACGATTAAAAAAAATGTAATTCTGTATTTTATTCATTTATTTATTTTGTAAAAACAGCAGCTTGTTTTTCTTAAAAAAAAAAAAAAAAAAAAAAAAATTTGACAAAAAATATTAAAAATCATTGAACTTCCTCAACAACAGATAAATGATAAGCGAACATAAAAAGATTACAATGATAAACATTTTCAACCCTCCATTCATTGACTATACTATTGCATATGCCTTAAAAAATATTGCTCATATATCTACAACAATTTTGATTTATGAATTTAAAAATTTCTTCCATACATGTCGATGTGTACATCATTGATATTATTATTTAAGTACATTATTTTAATTCTTTAAATTTAATTTAATTTAATTGATAATATTATTTTTATTTTGAGGTATCTTTTAAAAAGTTCAAAAATTAATTTTTTCAAGACGTAAATAAAAAATCATGGATCTTTGTAAATTTTATCTGTTTATATACTTCATTACATCGCAAGTTTAAAGAGAAATAAAAAAATTTTATTTTCTAAACCTAAAGCAAACTTATTTTTCACACGGTGCATCAACTTTTTTGCGTATCAATAATTCATCAGCATAATTCAATCGATTCTGATTATTTTATTTTCACATAGTATGGAATAACACATTTTCTATTAAAAAAAAAAAAAAAAAAATACAGATAGAAGTAACCAGCCAAACGTGAATACAAATAATCTATCTCTCGCCAGCCACGATTACCCAATGGAAAAAAATCACGCGATAATCACGAGTGGAGAAGATCCACACGTGTTGATGCCCGATGATAATAAGGTCAACGAAGATGAGCGGAGGAGCCGCGAAATCGCGATGTTTTCCATGGGTGACAAAAACTAGTTTTGTCACTAGCTCGAACCAGACTCGGGAGCGCAGCTTCCAGCCAAACGGATCATCATTTGTACCTCAACTATGTACGCATTATCAATTCTTTGAATCGCCCCGTACTCGTCGAAGTAGGACTTATTACCATTGTAGTGAATTGTACTATTGACAATGTTTTTCTCACGCCTATACCATTTTACATGGGCTAGAACGATAACTTGGGCATACCGAAGCTTGTGGGTCTCGGTACTTTTTCAAAAGATAATTTACGACTCTCTCAAAACGGTTATCACGGGCGTTTCCAGCTTTTTTTTTTTTTTTTTGTTAAAGTCAGTTTTTGCTAAAAGTGTGCACGAAAACGACCGAAAAGATAATGGACGGCCCTTGTCCATCGAAAAGAGAAGGAAAAACTCCGAATGGCAGACACAACAACAACAACAACACACGCCAAGCGAACTCTTGATAAGACTGTTGCGGTGAAAAAAAAAAACTTTGTTCTCGCGAAGCACACATCGCGCCCTTGTATAGCTGAAAAAGAGAAAAAGCACAAACCTCAGACAACAGACCCCAAAAACTTTCGTCCCCGTGACGACTTGATGGGATAACTTCGCCTTTTACCCCCCTAAACGCGAAAATCGCACGTATACGTCAATTGTACGCACGTGCAAAAGGCGTCACGCAAAGTCGTAGTCGCGTGTCCGCGAGTGTTGAACCGATGAGCGGCACACGGTGGCTTTTTCCTCAACATGTATATATATGTATATATGCACCTGCAGGCGACCGACGCAATTTTAACACCTCGTTGACGAGGCTCAGACCCTCGGTAAGTAGTTAGTTTTCGGTGACTGTCACTGCTGTACGTGTATATATGCACTCTTTTTGATGGGGTTCGCGCCTTCCGTGGCAGAGATAATTAGCGTCGTTGTTTGAATTTCGGAATTTTTGTGTTGTACGTGAGGGGTGGGTGGTGAAGGGTCTCGTATAAACGAGCAGTGGAAAAAGGCGTTCGATCGTGGGTACACGGGCAATTTAGCCTCACAATATGTTTGCGACCGAAGATTATTTTTTTTATTTTTTTTATTATTATTTGAAACTTTGAATGAGACTCGTGAAACGAAAAAAGCCGATATACATTTTTTTAAAACTCTATCCTACAGTTACTTTTTTTTACAACTAGTATCATATACGTAAATTAAAACGAAATTGTTGGTATATAGGTACATGAAGTTTCACAAAATAACAATGATTATTGAGTCAAGAGGGCTATACTTAAATAATTCTTGATATTATATGTAAAGGCTATTACGTACAGTGGCTGAAATGAGTTTGCCAATATCACTGAGGGATCAGGAATTTTTTGTTTAAATGCTTGATGATTCGGTTTGTAGGTACATGCATTTTTATACAAGTTGTTTTTTTTTAGTAAACCTACAATATTACTCTTAAAAATATTTTCAAAAAAGTACTCTTTTAACAGTGTACAGGAAAAAATTAAAAAATGTGAATATGTTTATGTAAAAAGGATGTTTTAGTTGCAGTAGTGTCTGTATAATATATCCCCTCGCATAAATGAAGTCGCTGATATCACATTATATCTACAAAGAATCGTCCCAAAGAACAATCTATTGTAAAAAAAACCACAAAACAATTATGTACATTTCGAATCATAACTCTGTAAAAAAAAAAAAAATAAATAAATAAATAAATTTAAAAAAATCGTTTCGCTCGCGATGTTTATCACTTTTAACCCTGCGCGCGTGTATTAGTATTGTGTACCACTCCACAGTACTCCACACTCTCGCCTGGCAATCATGTATATTATGTGCTCGCGCGGCAACGATTTTCTGTTTTTCCTGGTCTCTTCTCTTATTTATGTGGTCTTTTTTTTCCTTTTTTTTCTTTCTTTTTCTTTTGACGCTCGACTAGCGAGGGCTTTCGAAAATAAAGCGCCGACCATTACTCGCCCATCAGATAAGCGACTTGGTCGCGCTACTGGCTTGCAAGATTACTGTTGTTTTGCTGGTTGCCGTGTGTATGTACACGTCTATGGGACGATGGACGTATAAATATATACTTCCTTACGATGTACCTATTTGTGGCTTTTATACATAGCAGTACGTGAAAGTATCAACTGCGTGGTTACGTGATAAATATTCTTGATGAGGTAACAGTTTGGCTGTTTCAACGAGGCTGCAAATTGTAGTTTTTCCATTTGCGTGTTTTTAATTAATTATCAAAGATGTATGTTTATGAATTTTATTGTACAATGTCGACAAGAACTTGAGTAAAAATTTACAAAGTTCATCGAATGTGCTAGCTAGATTTATACGTGTACAAAATAATTATTTCCTTAAATTTTCCTGATAAGTATCAAATTAGTAGAGCATGAAATTATCGATGTTTCATAAATTACTCAGTCCCCAAGTCGGGAGGAATAATTAGACGCTAATCATGATAAATGGTAACTTAACAGTTGGGATGAAAAAACAAAATTGCAATACGTATTGACAATTAAAATAAAATTTTTTTGACCGATAGGTATTACAAAGTTTATTATTATTATTTTTTTTTTGTTTTGTTTTTTGTTCAGACTGTTACCTTTAATCGCACTAATTTGAAATTGGCACCTTTTTCCTTTCAAGCGACGAAAGTTTGTAGTTTTACGGTGAAAATTACCAGAATTATTTTCTCTGGGTGCATTATCTTTTCCACCGATTGAGAGGTAGAGAAAAAAATTTTAACTTATGTACCTATACTCATTAAATTTTCATCTCAGAGTTTTAAAATTGATAATTTTGTATACGTATACAAGATTTTCCAAAAAAATCGTCAACCTGAGCCCTTGAAACTCACAAAAGCCGCAACTTCAAGTCTCATACGCGCGCGAACAAGTCGAAACACTTCTCCATACCCCCTCACCATGCACCCGCACCCATCATTTAGATCAACGCTTAAAATCAACGATCGCCTCAAAGTCATGCTTTAGAGTTAAGTACCAAAGAAAGAAAAAAAAGAAAAAATTCCCAGTGAATAAGATGCAATGTCGGAACGACGTTGACCACACATCGGACGAAGAAATAAACTTGGCGATCGACCGCATATTGGCGGAGGATTGGCGCGAGCGGCCCACCCGTAAGCGCAGCGGCCACGGGGAACAGCTGGACTGCCCAGACCCTGTGACGTATTACCGATACCCAGCTACATTATCCCCCGTTTTTTTTCTTTCTAACCCCTTTTTTTTAGGTTAATACTGTAATGACAATGTTTTCGAAGTGCATACTTACGCCCACGGCTCCCGAGGTCCCATCGAAACAGAACAGTCTTTCCGTTGGGTGTACAATATAAACAATACATTGAAAGCCCATAAACATACAATAAAGTAATTGAACAAAAGGCACGTGTATAACGTTCATCGATTTTGTTTCAGTACGAAGGAGGCGTCAGTAACAACTCCACCCACAAGCGAATCCGTCACACGGGGGTCGAAACATCGAAGCGTTTCTCCTTGCGCGTGATGGAGGCTCTGCGTGCCATCAGTCGCCAGAGACAGGAAGCCAAGTGCTCGAGCACGTCGTCAAGCACCTGCGAGATCGTCGACTACGTCAGGGACCACTTTCGCTGCGATGGCGACGTCGAAGCCCAGATACGCACTTCTCTCAGGCGACTGAGTTGTCAAGGGTGAGGTATATTTTTTGCGAGTATACGGAAGGTTTGTTCTCCAATCCTTTTTCGTTCAGGTTCATCAAAGAAGACGGCAACGAGACGTACAACTGGGTCGGCACCTTTGCCTGTCCCGAAGAGGTTAGTTGCAGCCGGCCGGCAACTAATACACCGAACCGTAAAATCAAGGTTGCCGTGGATAAGCCGAGTCCCAGACGCAACACGAAACGACGATCTCCTCGTAGACGTTGCAACAAGAGGCAGCAGGTGGCTTTACCATACGTGTGTTACTTCCGTTGGCTATGTAATCGATTTGCCTTCGAAACAGGACGACGGCTCCATGATCGACTTGTCCGTGCCCTCGAGTATCGAGGAAACTGCGGTGGATCGACGCCGCCAGCTGAAACGAAGACAGCCGCTGCCCCGAGACCTCGAAGACTTTGGCTCGAAGTTGGCACACGCGGACCACCAACAGTTTCTGGAAGTGTTTGACGGCAGCGACCGAAACGAGGACGAGACTCGGCGGAGGTGCGTTTAGGGTGTACGAAGATTGTTTCGATCGCGTCCAATAATCAACATCCCAGTTCAGCAGGGGACGAGTGCGAGGTCGTGGGCAGCGTCGAGAGCCCGGCAAAGATGTTGGGCCTCGACGAGCCAGAGTTCCACGACGACGGAGACGACAATTACGAGGTCGAGGTGCCCGTGGACGAGTTGAGCGACGACGGTGACCCCGGGGACGACGAGGAAGATGGGGGGGACGTTGCTTCCGACGACGAGCGCTTCTTGAAGGAGATCAAGGATAGTGGGAAGGGCGAGCTGGACGATGAGCGACAACGAGATTTGAGAAAGTGGATCCGCAGCTGCAGGAGAGAATGCGCGGTGCGCGAATACACTCGGGCTGCTGAGTAACGGAGAGTGTAACTTTTTTTGTTTTTTTTTTTGTTAATTTTACCGCAAGATGTTTGATTTCTATCAATGGTTTCGTTTACCGATCTTTGGTCCAAGTACTGTTGGATTTGTTTCGTGCGTGTTCGATACGCATTGGTTTGATTGAAAGATGATTTACAAGCTAAACTCTATGTTTTTCGTATCAAAATACACGGTCATCAATTTCACAGTTTCATTATTTATTTCCTCTTGTAATATCCTGCTCCTTTAACAATATAATGTCTATTATAAAAATATTTCGTTTCAACAATATTTACATTTTTAAGTACATAAAGTAAACAGCGCACTTTTAACGGCAATCGTTTGATGAATTTGTTTTCAACAATTTAATATGTAAGTCTTGTAGCACTGGAATAACAATCAAGTTATTTGCTTCATAAAAATACAGATTTGCACAAGTCTCATAAATCTATTAGATAAAATACTTAGGAAACAGTGGATAAAAAAAAAAAAAAATTCCATTCCAACGATTCCTGTAATTGCATCCTAATTAAGTAAATGCAGATTAAAATAATAGTTTTTCTACCTTTGAAATTTTTTGTGACCTTTGCACGTTTGAGTCATCAGTAGAAAAATAGCATTCGCATCTGGTGTACATCGGTCACTATTAATTTACACTCTTAAACCCAATCCCTAGGATTCTTCAAGATCTCGAGCAGTTTACCCTCCCTGGAATCAGCTTCAGGCTCGTGCATGTACTCCCACCTAGCCGTGAGTGGCAAAGACATGAGAATACTCTCGTACCTCGCACCAGGTGTATAGAGACCAAACTTTGTTCCCCTGTCGTATATTAAATTAAACTCCACGTATCTGCCTCTTCTTAGCAACTGCCACTTACGCTCGGCATACCCATACCCATCGTTTTTGTGTTTATTCACAAGAGGCACATAAGACGGTACCACGGACTCGGCACAAGATTCCACGAACTTGAAAGCCCGCTCTTGGTCGGGCGTGTCCAGATCGTCGAAAAATATACCACCGACGCCGCGTCTCTCGCCTCTGTGGGTTATGAAAAAGTAATCGTCGCACCATTTCTTAAATTTCGCGTAGTAGCCGGGATCGTGTTTTTTACAGGCTTGATGTAGCGTTCCGTGGAAATGCTTGGCGTCGTCTTCGTTGAAGTAATAGGGAGTCAAGTCGGTGCCACCGCCAAACCACCACTGTGTCGAGCCGTCCTTGTTTTTAACTTCAAAGTACCTGTAGTTGAAGTGAATTGTTGGTACCTGCAATTCAAATGGGATTGCAAAATTTAATGCCGGTGTTGTGTGTACTGTCGGAGCAGCAGATTTATCAACATACCATAGGATTCCTCGGATGGATGACAGAACTTATACCAGCAGCAAAAAACGGCAGGTTGCCTTCGTCCATGTTCTTGCCCCTAGCTCTCATTTGTTGCACAGCACTGGAGGGCAGAGTACCCGTAACCACAGAGACGTTCACCCCGGCCTTTTCAAAGACAGTTCCATCCTGAAGAACGCAAGTGACACCTCCACCGCCTTCCTTCCTCGTCCACCTGTCAACCTTGAATTTGGTACCGTCCTCCTCTTCGGACTCTAAAGCCTTGATGAAGTCTGATTGAATTTTCATTATCATCAGCTCCATTTTCGTCTTCATGTCGTTTTTGTTCTTCTGCAAGTGGTCCACACTGGTGATTGGTTCTGTCATAAAATGGCTTGTATCGAGGACAGGCTGAGCTGCGTGGAGCCGACATCGTGTTGTCGTATAAACCACCACACCCGCGCCTATCAATCCAGCACCAATGCACTTGAACTTGTGAGTTATGATTTTTACCGAGTCCTTGTTCACGTAGGTATGGAATTTGCGACAGCTCGGCAGTACCTTAAATGCCATATCTAATCCCTGCAACCAAACGAATCAACAAAGAAATTTAGGCTCGTTTCTTACAGTGATTTCACATTTTACGGAAATCAGATTAGCGCGGTGCTACTGATAGCTTATCTAACACTTGATGAACCAAAGTAATATCAGATTATATATCAAATGGATATGAAAAAAAAAAAAAATTCTACGGTAAGTAAACAACTTTTCTCGGTAGGAGTCAATGCTCCGAATGAGAGTATGTACCTATATAATTAAAAAAGCCTTACCTTAATTTAATGTATAAATAACTTCTTAAAATTGTGATTACACGGCCATGCAGGGAAAAAAAATAGATGTCTTAAGGTATACTTATCGTATTATTTTTTTATTTTTTTTTACAAACGGTAGACAAGATAGAAAAATTAGTCAACTAAAGTTTTCAATCTATTTTTCGTCATATTTTACAGAATAAAATAATTAGCACCCACAGAATTATACTAGTATAAGAAGTTTAAAGAGAATACACTTGCAGACACATATGTATGATAGAAATATTGTCAAAATTGTCATCGTGTGTAGCGCATCAGCGCCATCTAGCGTCGCGGATTTCGCGGACTGACGCAAACTATTTTCTAGGGGATCCGTCTTGAAAAAAACCCTAGATTCTAGGGATTTACAGCAGAAGTAAATCACTAGGCATATGTATAGATATATCATAGTAGGTCAAAAATTGCTATTTGCGTGCTTCGATTACGCAATACGGCTTGAAATTGATGGTGGCATATATTTACTAAAATACTCAAATTTGCCAAAAATGTAACAATTGTCACCCACGCATGCCTTGCGATGGTTGTATTGCGTATATTGAAGCACGCAAATAGACCCCCAAAACTCCGCTCCGATCGAATTGCATTTGGATCTAGCACCATCTAGCATTGCGAACCCAGCTGTTCGCTGTACCGACGGTCGGCGTAAGGTAAGATAGAAACCTGCAGTACGAACAAGTCAGCCAACCGTCGGTACAGCAACAAAAATTTTGGTCCAGCTATACCGACAGTTGATCGACTCTTTACCGACGACGAGGTCTACTGATGGGGGATAGGGTCTATTTGCGTGCTTCGATATATGCAATATAACCAAAACGCGAGGCATGCGTGGATGACAATTGTTACATTTTTGGTAATAAGATTAGTTGCGACTGGTTTATAATTGATTAAATGGCTCTAATAGGCCCTTAAGCGGCTAAAGCTCTGATTCAGAATTTTAGGAATCACTTTTCGCGAAAAAATGAAGACCGCTAGATGGCGCTGATCCAAATAATTATTACTATACTTATAGAAGAACCAGTAATCGATTATAAACTAGCCGCAACTAATTAAGTCTAATTAATTATTTATTTACGTTGAGCCTCTCTTGTTTCATGATGGTTCAAGATAAGTAAATGTGAATGATATGATTAATAAGGCATATGATAAATCGTGATAATCTCGATAGTAGAAATGTAAAGCACGTCGAGGCCGAGAAATAAAAAAAAAGAGTTACGTTCTGATTTCTGAGTATTGCACAAATTAATATTTTTATATGTATATGAATACTTACAAGAGCAACAACAATTAACACAACAAAGTGAGCAAGAAGGTGGTGGGATGTAGAGTGCTTATACACTGCTTATCTCTCTCTCTGCAAATGATAATTAAGTACACCAAGTACCAAGTATGGTTGACACTTGAGAAATCCTACTGATGACGTGCATTTATTGGATATGATACAAAATATACGGTTCAACCGTGTATAATGTTTATAGGTACTTCACTTCTATACCCACTTCAATTGTCGCTAAAGTAAAGTTAATTGTATAAAAAACATAAGGAGACGTTTATTGAAGGTTGTATACAGTTGTACTTAACTTGTAAACGTATCAGTTTTGTACACTACAGAGTTAAGTTACAGACTACAGCGAGTCAACGAGTGAGAGAGAAAAAGACGGAAAATTTTAAAGAGGAGTGGTTGTAGGTTGTAGGGAGAGAGAGAGAGAAGGAGAAAAAAGAAAAGGAAAGAGAGAACTAGTATGTGGTTAAACCGCGAGCGCGACAACAACCATCTGGAAGGACTGGAGGCCTGTCTGTGCGTGTAGAGTACACGGGAAAGTGTGCGGATAAGGAATATCCGGGAACGGGAAGACGTGGTTGTTCGTTGTTCTTCCAAGCGTCCAGGTGCAGGCTGGCTGCTGTTACTGTTCCAAGTATACACCTGACAAATTCATCAGGATGATGAACATGTGGAAAGTGCGCGAGCTCGTGGACAAAGCGTGAGTGGCCTGGTTTATTTTCATTTGTCCCTATTTGTTTATTATTAATTACTACACCACGATCATCATCACATCTAAAGTGGAGTTTTGGAGTTTGTGCGATTTTTGTGGTGGTGTTCTACTACTTGTACTAAGTAGTTCATATGCCAAGTTGCAGCAGCAACAATTCAGTGTTGAAACATGTTGTAATTTATCAATGGTGCTTTTCCATGTGTGAGTTTGCTGATAATCAGCAGATGACATCTCTGATGTCAGAAGACATCTCTGGAACATCTCTGATGTTCCAGACAACTCTATATTGTGTTGTCTATATTGGCGGTTTGCTTTTTATAGTTTTGCATTGTTAAATTAAAGTCTATTATTTGCTCCTCCGGAGAGCTTAGGTATTAGGTAATCCATAGATGGAACTAGCATCGAGTTTATTTTGAAGTAAAGAAGCAAATAATGCTCTAAGCATACCAAAGTCTATTTTACCCATTGGGTTAATAAATGGAGCATCGAATAAACAATTTTTCACAGCTTTCACAACGATATAGCTTTAGTATTGATTTGTCAGACCGTAGATTGCAACCCGAGATTGTCGATTTTTATCTCCAACAGCGTTGCAATTCTTTGCAAATTTTTGTATGACTCATCTATCGATTCCCTAACAGCACACGATGTTTTAAAAACGTTGAAATAACTTATTCTTACAATTCAAAAGTATCAAATAAGGTTTAAATAACGTTTGAAAGCTATAAAATTCTAGCTAAAAATCACTTCTGGACTAGTTTCACGTTAATTTGCTTGTAATTGGTGGCCATGATAATTGTATTTATTTGATAATCTAGATTGAGCTAATTTAAAAATAAAATTTAATTATTGATCAAAAGTATTGTAAATAAACTCAACCCCTTACCTTAGGTACTGTCATCCAGATGGAAACAACTTTATGAGCTATCAATTAACGCAAAAGTAGTGTAGAAGTGATTTTTAGTTAGCAAGATCATCCGACATTTTCAATGTGTTTACAAACGTTTTTATAACGTTACCACAACTTCAGTTTACTACTTTACATAATTGTACAAAATATGTTTTTTAAACGTATACTTTTGAAAGTATAGTATATTTGATGCTGTGAAGTTCTCATTTAGGTCTTAATTTAAAGATATTAGTATATTTATTAAAAGCGCCATTTACTAATAAATATTTCCTCAATCCTGACTCAATCACATGACACTGCATCACACAGTGTTACTTTCACTTTTCGTTATTTCCATTGGAAAGGAACAATCAAGCGGTAGGTGACAAAGCTCGTCCAATCAGCACTTATTATGCTTAATTGAGCCTCAACTCAGGGTCTGCTCTAAATTGTCTCGGAATATCCAATTCCTTTTCATTGAGATTGGGTCAGGGTCAGCAACGTGTGTATCTCTCCTGAGCAGTAATTGTAACGCACAGGCGATTACGCAAGTTGAAGAGAGAGGGGGGAGAAAAGCAGGTAAAAAGGAATGTACAAAATGAGCCTCCAGCAGTACTTAAACCAGTTTTCATGTGATTTTAGGGAGTACATTTAAATTGCCGATTTAAGCTGGCTCTGCATCTGTAACAGAAAATTGTGGAACTTTTTTCTTTCTTCAATCACCAAGACTGGTACTGCATGATAGTTGCCACCACACACGTACAATTCGTTTATATGCACAGTTGGTGATAAATCACGACCCTTATCTTGTTCTCTAACGACATAAGCGTATATTGACGAGTTCTGCGGGAATAAAGAAGAGTTTTATTTGCCAAACGTAAGAAATTCTCCGGCAATGCGATAAAATGATCATGTATTCCATCACATGTTGAAAACCTTTTATACAATTGTTATGCTGCACATGTGATGGCTGTCCCAATCTATATCAGCGTGTCATACAATGTATAGTTTTGAATTATTATCGTTCCCAATCAAATCCTTGGAAACTTTCTCTTTTTTTCCAAGAGAACAAAAAAAAAACCAAACTCCAAACTATCGTATGGTGTACACATTCCGATCTTACGAAACATCTCACACTCACGCGCCCGCAATGAATGTAACTGCAAACCCAAAGCACGTACTTATCGCGAGGATCCTATTCTTACGTGCATTTTTTATTTCCAGTACGAACGTGGTCATGAATTACACAGAAACCGAGGCGAAGGTCCGCGAGGCAACGAACGACGACGCCTGGGGACCCACAGGTAAGCTCTTGAGTCTCGTGATTCTCTGTGCGTTGTTTAACATGCCATTGACGTTGTTTAAGTGTGGGATTATATGATTTTACCATCTTGATTTTTTACAATTTTGTTCAATCATGAATTTTAAGCAACTAAATTTTCGACCTATACAAAGAAGTAAAGTGTACACATAATATACTTTTATTCGTCAGTAACGACCAAAACTGACGGTTATCATATAATTTACAGACTTGGGCGTAATTATTTTCTGAATTTTACGCACTTAGAAAGAAAAAAAACATTTTCTGAATAAAATTTCTTCTTAGATAAGTACCATACATTTTCGATGTTAAAGTTTATCGCGAAGTATTTAAAACTGCAACGCGTTGTTTTTGCTGGAAAGAATTAAAGTATATTGTGTAATAAGCAGTAATTAACAAAATGTATTAAGTTCAAATCATGCATTACAGTTTTGGACAAAAATTACGTTGCAAAAAAATTGTAAAAGCATCCTTTTTTTTTTTCGTTGTCCAACCAAAAGGTGCAATGATGCAAGAACTCGCGCAAGCAACCTTCACGTACGAACAGTTCCCGGAAGTGATGTCGATGCTGTGGAAGCGCATGTTACAAGAGAACAAGCGCAATTGGCGTCGCACGTACAAGGTGTGTGTCACAGGAGTACATAATTAACATCCTACGCGTGGGCTACAGCTCCATTAAATTTTGAAAGTGTTGCTGCACGTGTAACTTGAATTTTGTGTTTTAATTCTCGTTTGCAGCTGTACTAAATTATCTATCTTTCAGTCACTGCTGCTGCTGAATTATCTGGTACGCAACGGGTCCGAGCGAGTGGTGACGTCGTCGCGGGAGCACATATACGACCTGCGCTCCCTTGAAAATTATACGTACGTCGATGAGTTTGGTAAAGATCAGGGCATCAACATAAGGCACAAAGTACGGGAATTGATAGATTTCATTCAGGACGACGAAAAATTGCGGGAAGAGCGTAAAAAGGCCAAGAAAAACAAGGACAAGTATGTCGGTTTGTCGTGCGATGCGATGGGCATGGCTTTGGGAAGCAGGGGTGGCGGCGAGAGATGGATGGACAATCCCAAGTGGAGCACCGGCAGCGCCAGCAACAAGTCGGAGGGATACAACGACTGGGAGAGGGACAACGGGTCGAACAACAGGTGGGTCGATACACCGCTTTTTTTCTGCCTAGCGCTTCGTATTAAAGGATTATATTTTACAACGGCTTTATATATACATTTTTTTTTTTTTTTTTTCTTTACTTTTTTGTTTTGTTTTCATATTTTATTCGCACTTTTCAAGCGCTTTTATCGGCGTCGATAAGATTAGATATAAGAGCCGTCTTGGCGTTTCGTGCGTTCGGCTAAGGTGCTCGGAAACTATTCAGATTAGATAAACAAAAACAGAGCATAGTCATTGTTCATTTTTTTATCCGAGCACATAAATTAAAAAACTGTTGCGAAAACGCTCGTACTACCAAATACTGAACAAGGTTGCGAAAGCCTCTTATTATTGCAAAACGCAATGGAGAACTTATCGAACTAATTGGTCATGTTTGACGAATTTCCAGTGACGATGGCGAAAAGGAAGATTCGGATAACGAGGGGCGCTCGAACCCACGCAAAAATCCAAGTGTGAGCGATCGGCGCGAGTACTGCGACACAATGGAGACGATTGACAGGGTGCCCAAGCCCATCTCTATTGCACCAGTGATCTCCAACGCATCGCCAGCTCGGACCCCCAAAACGATAAAGAAAATTGATCTTGGCGCTGCTGCCAATTATGGTAAAGACCAGCAACAGCAGTCCCAGTCACCGGTAAATCTCATGAGATCGCCCATCAAGCAGCAGCCAGTGCAAAGAAACAAAAATGATATTCTCAATGATATCTTTGACTCGCATAATGACAATAATGGTACGAGTGAGTTGTAAACTTCAAGGGGATATATGATATTCGATCATGCAAAATGTTAATTTTCATTATTTCCAATGGTCAGGTGCTGCGAATGCGAACAACGACGATGATTTCAATCCACGTGCCGATAGTTACACGCCAGTACCATCGGCACAAGGTAGCGGTGATTTTGGCGATTTCACTTCAGCTTTCGGCTCACCAACCATCGGCAGCAAGTCCAAGAATACCGACGAGTTTGCCGATTTCTCGACTGCCTTCGATTCTGGACTGAATATCTCGCAGCCAGCAGCAGCAGCAGCAACGGTACCACAGCAGCAGCACCAGCCACAGATTTCGTTGTTGGGTGCGACTATCCCCAACATTGGTAATCCAATGGCAGACAATCTGATAACACCGAAAAGCGCACAGATCAACACTGGCTTTGGTACTGGTAACGATCTGTTTAATTCGTCGCTCAATAACCAGTCCCAGAATATTGATAGCAGTAATATTAACAACAACAATACAAGTGAGTATTATTCTCATTTCAATACCTAGTTTGATGATCGACCCACGGCTAATATGGGACACGTGGTTGGTTATTTTTTCTTTCAGTGCTGTCAAATACCGATTTGCTGTCTGATTTGTCAAGCTTCAGCGCTCCAATGGTGCCTTCCATGAATCAAACAAACAACCTGAACAACGCAAACTTGTTCAGTACGGATCCGTTCAACAACTCAGGTAAGCTCGACCCGCTATTATTCCGAAACCTACCGGCTACTCATATCAGCATTTAAAATAATCCTAGTCTATCGAGAATTTTTAATGCTGGTACCAATCGCACCTCACACCCGCATACTCCCCCCTGAAAGCTCTCAAACCATCTCGCAGCATGTATGTACCTCTGGCCTTGAGAACAAAAAAATTCTAAGCCCGCGTCTTCGTATAATGCCGCCAAGTTAGTCTTATCTTGCAGCTTTGCCAGCCGGATCCAAAAAGACTCATCAAACGCTCATGACGGATTGCCTCCTGGATACCATTCGGTTCGTTCTTGCAAACAAGAGTCAAAGCAGCATTAAAAAACTACAAGCTCAGATCTTAGAGTACATAAAGATTCTACCGGGTCTGGTGACACCACAAAAATTCGTGGGCCAGGATTGCAATGCTCAGATAGATCTTGTAACGTACAGTAGGATTCTTGAGGATTTGGCGGATGCGTTCGACTCCAGTTGGCCGCTTAACGACGGTAAACTGGATACAGCTGTTCGCGACTTGTTCGTCGTGGATGGTGCGAATTGTCAGATTTTAAACGAGTCGCTGTTGATTCTGACCCAAGCGATGAAGAGGACCGAGGATGCGAAAATTATCAAGTGTTTCGGTACCTTACTCGAAGAGCTAATGAAGAGTGACGCGCTGTTTTCGGCTCTGGTGCAGTCCAGCCGAGCTGGCGAAATCGGTGATTTTGAGAAGAGCGCGGAGGAAGAATTGTGGCAGAGTGTCGTTCAGATAATCGTTTCTCTACCCAATCACGTCGCCAATAAAATGCAGATGCACCTTTTGGAACTGTTCAAGTCAAAATCCTTCGCCAAAGTGCTCATCTACCACGTCTGCCGAGCAATTTATTTCCTCAACGAGGCACTGCATCTTCACGAAATCGATATCGACACGAAAATCACATCCATGATGATCAGCAAAATGTTCCTGGTCTCCAACACCGACGATCTAACTCCCTTTGTCGATATCACGCTGGAATGGTGCGTCTCGAACATAAACGCCATTCAGACCTGTTTGCTAAGGATACTGTCGAACGTGCAAAGTCACAGCGTCGAAAATCTGGCGATCACGTTCCTAAAACACCAGAAATTTGCGCCCGAGGTCTTTGGTGACCTGACCAAAAACGAAGTGTGGCGCCACACTCTCACAACCCGAATCCCCATGATGTCGTGGTACAATGACGAGAGATTGGTGAAAAATCTCGTGTCCTATCTCCACCACTCGCAAACGGACGACGATCGCATACTCGTCGATTTGGTCGCCAATCTGCTGGACGTGTGGGGGGACAAGAGTGCCCTGAACCACACGACGTTCGAGCAACACCTGTACATCACCAAGATCATCCTACTGGCTGTGAGATGCGCGAAGGACAGTTTAACTCACCTGGAACGGGACAAACTGCACAAACTGACTCTAGGAGCTGTCGCGGCCCACTTGGGCTCGCCTCAGGTAGAGGTCCGTGCCGTTGGGATGATAACTACCGAGGTGCTGGTGGGACTCTTGAAGAGTCCTGGGAGCCCGGATCTGAGCTTTGGGTACGAAGGGATGGGCGAGAGCGCCTTGGTTCTGGTAGAGTCGTTGAAAAACCTGACGATTCAAGGGACAAAAAGCACCGAGTGCGAGACGAGAGGCGAGGATCTGGTCATCGGTGATATTGAATTTTCCAGCCTTGGCAGCAAGAAAGTCTATGAGCTTGGAGTCGAAACCAAGATACTGAAAACCGCTGTTGCTCTAAAGACCGATGAAAGCAACTTGCAGACCGTAAAGATCGAGCTCCCGAAGAAAATAAACAGCTTCCCAAAAAGAGTCCAGGTGGAAGAAGAGCTCGACAGCGACGACGACCTCGAGCCTTACGACATGTCGAACGACGTGGCCCAAGTCGAGCGCCTGCGACCGCTATACCTCCGTGATCTGCGGGACAACCTCGTCAACGTTGAGAACAACGGCCGAGACGACCCGGACGTCTTCTCCGAGACGCTCAAGTTCAGTGAGCAGCTGATCCTCGCTCAGCTATCCAACGACGACGCGAGCTTTGCGCTCGAGCTTCTCATGATCTTTCTGAATCTAGAGGCGAGGAGTCCTGCGGATAACTTTGAGCTCCTGACGTTCAGAGCCTGCGTGGCCATTGTAACGGTGCACCCGAAGCCCTGCGCCGAGTACCTGGCCAGAGAGTTCCACACGGAAATATCCAAATACTCCGTGGAGAGGAGGTGCTTTTTGTTGAACGTCCTCGCAGAGGCTGCCACGAGATTGGCCGCTCTCGACGTTCCCAAAGAAGAGGGCGAAAGCACCGTCGTTTCTGAGAAGAAAAAAAAGAAACCAGCTGGGCCCGTGAATTTGTACATAGAAACCGACAGAACCAAACAGTACCAAATACTCTACGAGGACTGCGATCCGGACGACGTCGAACCGGGCGGTAGCATCGACTGGCGCGAGGTCGTTCAGAGCAGGATATTCTCCAAGACACGTCACTTTGCTCACGCGTCCAAGCGGTCCAGGACCCACGTGAACCGCTTCGCCGGTGTAGCCTCGTCCTTCTTCTTTCCCCTGATCAACGGCACGTGCAGTCGCAATCGCAGTTTTATGTACGAGTTCCCCAAGAGCTACCAAGACCACGGAAACTATCTGCTTACACACTACCTCGACACCCTGGCTACTGTGGTAATATCGGCTCAGAACTGTCCTCAGGCCACGAAAATGTCAGCCGAACTGCTCGAGCTCTTGTGGATCCTGAGGTACCAAGAAGAAGCGAGGGTCAGATTGGCGGTGATGAAGTGCGTGGCTGCCGTGCTTATCGCTGCGCCGGAGTTTGATGTCAAGGGACAGCTACTGAACGGGCTGCTCGAGTTCAGAATGTGGCTGCTGGACGCTGCACAGGATACTATTAAAGGCGACCCGGACAGGTCTTGTAGGGAATTTGCCGGGCTCGTGTTGGGTCTCATGAACTCGGTGCTAAAAGACTTGGCCGATGGCGTATGAATAATCGCGTGAATTGGCTTTTTTTTTTTTTTAATGATTTAGTTATTTTTGTATTACGACCTTGGATTATGAATTTTGCTAGATCTAAGCCATGTGTGTACATACTCTGTGACAGCATCCTATTAAACATTAAGCTTAGTTATTAGATCGTAATACTTAAGTGTAAAGACGAATTTCTTAATCAAAAATAAATCAAACCTTTTTCTAAGAAAAAAGGGACCCATTGCTTCATTTTCAATTTCCATACAAGTACAACAGTCTGAAATCGTTAAAAACTAAGTAACAACAATAAATGAAAAAACAAATAATAGGTTTAGCACCAGTTACGGATCTGCTGACGCCAACGAGTAGCAACAACAGCGCGAGCAACAATACCGGCAAACCAAATCAAACGCAAGTTGGCTCGACGTGGAAGGGCGCGGGTTTGAACATCGATCTCGACAACATCATGGGTAGCAAGTTTAACAAGTCGGGACCCGCGCCAACAATGAACCAGCTAGCCAGCAACAGTCCCCAGCACAACAGGCTGAGTCAGCCTGCACTAGGTAAGAACGAAGAGTAGAAGAAAAGATAAAAACAAAAGAACGGTAATTAAATTGAGTATTTCGACTTTTCAGCTGTGCCTGCAGCAAAGGGTTTCGCAGCATCGCCGCAGCAGCCAACATTTTTCCCAGCATTCCAATGATCTTTACTGTCAAAGCCGATGGACCGAGAAGATAATGCCTTATCCGCGTCACATTCCTAATCTTTTCTCCATCAGTGCCACCTTCTTTTCCTTTTCTCGGTTGAAGCACGGCGGATGAACATTTTGGAGATGCATTTTATCGACGAAAAATATGTGTAACGTCAGCTTTTCTTTTTCCCTTGTTGCTGTCGTTACAACAACAATATTATTATTGCTAAGGAGTTGTACAGATTTTTAAGTGAGAAAGAGTCAGGGAGAGAACGAGCGAATTTTATATATTATACATATTGTAAAGAGTAGATACATACGACGAAAAGAGGAAGGGAATGCATATCGTTAATCTTCCTTTCATTGTATATGCAATAATCGTTGGTTTGTCCAAACCAAATGACTGGGTGTTAAAACCTTATTGAAAGCAAATTTAGATAGTTAATATAAATACTGTATTGATGTGAAATAATAATAGGTGTTTTTGAAGTTTATGAAGAATATACAATGAGATGAAACAACATCATGTGCTTCCCTGAGTTGAACCTCTAAAAAACATATTAATGTATAAATACTTTTGCACCAAAAATGATACTGTATGAAGATCATTTCAAAAAATTCGAAATAACAATACTATATACGTTTGAAAACAGTGGTTGTGGTGATCTTTTGAAAAATAAAACTTTTTTCAATAATACAGGTATACATGTGATTTTCAAAACTCGGTGGTTTAAAAACTCCCTGCAAGTAGCCTGTAGTTGAATTATCGTTAAAAAAGCAATGTTGATGGTATGAAAACCCCCAAAAGTAGCTTGTAGTTGAATCATGAACGTGAAAGCAATGTTGAAATATTAGTGAAATTTAATATTTTCAAATTTTCGATTATTATTTTACCTCCCAGTTTTTCCATTTTTTAAACCATTACGATGAATTTTTTTATGAATATTTACAAGTATATATTATGTAAAAAGAAATTGTTCTGTGCCTCCTAGTATATAAATATATCAAACTGAAAAGACAATGATATATCCATACGTTGTGAGGATATTAAACTTTTCAAAGTATAAATGCAACTGCGAGAGAGTCTTTGATGCCAATTTTTGCATTTTAAACTTTAAGATGCTCTTTTATAACTTAAGAAAAATTTAAATACATTGTTAATTTGTGTACATAGGGTGAAAAGTGTAAAAAGAAGTTTTTAAATGATAATGTAACTGATTTCTAAAAAAAATTCCGATTACCCTCCCACTTGATGAAATTATTAATAAAAATCACAAGTGTATTGGTTAACAAAAAAAATAGTCAACTTGTATGAAGTCCTGTCGCTCTGTGGCAGCACAAAGTAGAGAAAAAAAAGTGTTGTTAGTACGGTATAGATAGTTAAATATTTTTTAAAGGCGTTCTAACAATTAAACTTTACGATGAAAATGGTGTTGATAATAATATGTATTAGTGTGATTCAAGTTTTTTTTAATTGTAAAATGAATCGTGCATTTTTTTAAACGTACATACATACTAAACACATCATTGACCAGATTGTAAAATGAAACACATACGTTGCATATCAAAACAAATACATAATGAAAAATAAATAATAAAACACAATAACTATTCATAGATATTATTAAGCAGTGAGTTAATTACAGCTAGGTTTGCCAAGTTACAGCCCACTTAAAATTATGAAAGATTCTAAAAATACGATTTATCTTCACATGGGCAAGAATAATATCGGTCTCGATTTCCACTTTAGGTTTGATAAAAAAAAATGTCAAGCTTTACTACCTGGTTTTCTCGGTCTCTGAACATTTTTTATTGTTCAAAGTCAGAGGCAGTGATGGACAGGTGGCTAAGCCATACGGAAAAATTAGCCATTATAAATTGGCAAATAATGTGGTTTTAAATTTTATTTTATTGTCATGTTCCAAACGGAATCAAAATCTATAGTACTGCAATTACTCGATTAACGAGACTGAGACTTTTTATTTGTGATCCTTGTTTCAATTGTAAATAAAAGTAATAGCAAAATTATATAAATATTTAAGCCCTAGTTTTTCTGTAATTATCAATTATTAGGACAACCGAGTGATACCAATTGTTTAATTACGAATTTGTGTAACTTTTGCAGCTTACTAGAAAAAAAAAACATTTTTGTCTAGTTTTAAGGTTTACTAATTAAGAATTTTAATTACTGTTTTCAAGTATTTATATACCTATGTTGCAGCGTAGCTATTGTCTTAATTAAAATGCTCATTGGTGCTGGTATGATTATGAATAAGTTTTTATTCTCCAATTTCAAAGTATTTGATTGAAACAAAGTTTTAACATCTTGATTTTAAGTACTAATGAATAAAAATGTTACATTTCAAAATTTTGTAATTTTTTATCCTATTTATTCTTGATTGCAGTTAATTTATTGTCTATCAGAGGTAATTTAGGTTTATAAAATTGTTTACGAGTTATAGCATTTTTCTGAATTTCTCAACAGCTAAAGGAACTTGTGTATTTTATTTTCGTTTAAATAAAATGAATATTATGATCCAACTGATTTTATTTATTTAAAATACAATTTTTTTCTTCTCAATTTATACAATTGCCTTCCGGTCTCATACCAAATTGAAGTTACCTTTATACAACAGTTGAAGTTATCTTTGTTCGTGTTGTGAAAAAATTAAGCATTGATCCTTATAAAATTTTATAGATCACTGCATTATGATATTGCGCGTGTAAATGTAACAAAATGCTTCTACAACGATATCGGCCTTACTAATACGCAAAGAGAATATTTCTTTACATTATACAAGAATCGATTTCATAAAAAATCTATCTGAAAATATACATAATACATAAAGAACGAAGTTGTAACAAATGGTGATAGTATGAATGGTGTGTTGGAAAACGTAAATAAGATGGAGGTAGATGGCGAGGAAGTGCCGAAAAAGAAAAAGAAGAAATCAAAAAGTAAAGTTACTTGTGAAGAAGCGTTATGGTGGGTTTTGTCTTTTTGTCCTTTTTCTTCTTTTTTTTTGGAGTTTCTTCCGTGATAGCAGGTACTATTTGTGAAGCTTCCTCAATGGCTTCTTGCATAACTTCAATGTTCTTTTTAGGAACATCTCCAGTCTCATAAAACTTCAATCTATCTTCTACCTGAAAAAATAAGAACAGTTATAGTAAAATCACTTAAGAAATTTTAATCCGTGTATTAGCATTTAACTGACTTGTTGTCGGAGTTTCTCTCCAAAGATATTGCAGGGCAGCTCGGCGAAACAATCTATCCTTGATGCAATCGAACATTTGTTTGCCAAATACCTTGAGATTCGGCCCTTGTTCTTCATGCCGGCTCGACCAATGAAAGTCGAGTGGAACAGCAGTCCATATTTTGGTGTGTTTCCTTTCGTTTTAAGAGCTCTAAACAAGGCTTTCTCAGCTCCTGTAAAATATAAATGATTTAATATCAAAACTAACAAAAAAAAAAACAAGGTAGTTTTCGTCACAAGTGCGCCATTGCCACCATACTTCAGACGTCTCTCGGGCTTGGTGGAGATGAGCCCAAGTGACGAAAACTACTTTAACAGAATCTAGTTCAAATTCTAATTGCGTACCTAGAATTTGAACAGTCGAAGCAGGATATTTTGCTAGATTTGTCAGCGAACCAGCGTGTGCAATGAGACGCGCTCCAACTTGATCACCAATCAAGGTAGCAAGATTTGGAGCTACTCCCGACATTTTCGACCTCAGATACTCCGAAAGTTCTTTTCTATAATCAGCCAAATCTATTACACGCTTGGCGAACATTTCAATGTTCAGAAGATCAATCGGACTGATATCCATCCCCATTGAGGATTTGGAAGCATCAATGATAGCCTGAGCTTTTGCGCTGTCCATGACTATTTCTTCTAGTGCCTCCAAATGATCTTGAGTCAGCTCTTTTCTGTTTTTAATGAGCTCTGCTGCTTTGGCATACATGTAGTTATCAGGAACAATTTTTACAAGCTCTGGGAAGTGGTAACTGTACCATTCTCTGCAAAACAAACAAAAATGTTTTTATAATACATTCTATTAGCCTACCAGGAACATCATAATCATCAAAAGAATCTTGATTACCTGATTCGCATACTGAATGTATTAATGTCTTTGTCCAATTGATCTAGCAGAGCAATGCTCTGAATAATCATATTGTCGACTCTGTTGACATTGAACTTGACCTTAGCTCTAGAGTAACTGTGACCAAGACCTAGTTGTGCGATTCCCGAACTCTGGTTTGAGAAGCCTTTGACCAGACTGGAAAAGTGATACCGTATACCCCTGATGATTTCTGGTATGGCTCCAGTGTGGTCGCACTTGATGTCCAGAGCTTCTGTGATACTGGCTCCAAGCTTGGGATCAGCTATTCCGAGAACAACCTTCTCCTTCTTGCTTCCTCTGGGCACGTTGGTATCCAAAAACAGCTTGAGATCATCGGGTGCGATGCCTTCCGATATGCTGTTGACGTTCTCGAGTGCTGTCACGGCAGTTTTGAAGGGTGAAAACCCGACAAGCTTGACCACCTGGTTGAAGCGCTGGAGGTCGGTCACGGAGGCCTCAACCTGGGGCAGCAGCATTCCGACCTCTTCGAACTCCCGCACCGAGAATAGGGCATAGCCAGCCGCATGCTCGAACAGCACAAACAGCTTCGACTGCAATTTTGGAGAAAATGAACATTCGTTGGTCAATTTACTCTTCTTGATTTAGATCACGCGATGTTCAAAGTATCGATTTACGTGCAAACAGGATAACGTAATTTCATACTTTTGGAACATTACTTTTGATTCAAAAATACAGGGCTATAAAAGAGAGGCGTATAGGTTAGGACGCTTCGGCAACGTGGTCACGCACGTCATGTAGAAATGAAAACAAAGGGATTTATCGAGTTATCTCTAGTCGTTTAAGTGAAAAGATATGTTACAGATTAAACAATTTACTTACCATCGCGGCTGTCTATTATCAAATGCCAATCCAATAAGTTTGACCAATTAATAAAAATAATCAAAACAAGAAGGCACTACATAATCTCTGGCACAACTTTTTCCTCTGTTGTTAGAATTTACGCCAGTTAGCCGCAGTGTTGGAGAAAAAACAAGATAAAATGTAAAACAATATAAACTTTATTAAGTTGTTTCGCCGGATTCACGTGTTTTTAAATTGTCCTTGTTGTGACTTCGTGTGGTTTTGTGTACGTGCGTGTTCGAGAGTAGATTCGATACATCTGTAACTCGATTTTCATCGATCATCGATAGTTTTAAAATATCGATTCATCGAATTCCATGAGAGCTCGAGAGAACCAAGCCCACGAAAATTCAAAAATAAATTTGTACCTACGCTACCGCAATAAGGTGCGTAGGTCATGGTAACCTTGTGATAACGATTAAAATTAAACAATACATGGTTGGGTTTTTGGGTATGTATACTACTGTCAAACTGTGAAGCTGTCAGTGTGTTCCGCTGATAAACAAACTTCGAAATCTCGATGATACGACTCGATCAATTTTCACCGATATTTCAGATTTTGTATTTACAAATAAAAAAATGTAAGTTGTGTTCTTAGCGCATAAGTACTTATAATTCTGGATTCTCAAGGGAACTCACTAAGAAATTCGAATGACTAAGTAATATTTATTATTGCATGCTATTGTGTCGACGATCACATTATGCCGTTATAATATGCAGATACGCGCCTTGAAGAAGTCGGGGCTCCCCGCAGCCCCGCACCTTCAGTGTACCTACCACGCACTCATCAAGTGCATCAGCTGGAAGGATCAGGTCAACGTCAATTGCTCGACTTGACCATCTGACGAGTGACGACTGTTACTTTTCTGTCGCTGCTGCTGTTAATTTATATGTAAATGTGCATTAGTGCATAAATATGTATATATACGTATACAAATCATACATACACATATCGTGTTTGCATATAATATGTTGCTCTAAAAAAGGATGAGATGAGCAAAGACGGGGAGAAGAATACAAAGGGAGGGAGGGAGAGAGAGAGAGACAACTAGATAGATACCTAACATACCTACGCGCAGCAATCAAAAAGGAGTTGGTGTCTCTCTTTCTCTCCAGGTCGTCATCACCAAGTCCGCGCGCGCGCTAACCGTGTATACCCATAACCCAATAACCCAATACCCATACTCTTACTGCAACTAGGAAGTCCAACCGTCCGACCACCGACGACGGCGTCTAGAGAGTATAGTTGAGTATTTTTCCAAGTTGTAAAAAGTTGTAGCTTTTTTTTTTTTTTTTTTTTTACACGCCCCTCCCTACTTATAATATAAATTATACGTGTTTCACGCGCGCCCGCGCACGCATACACACGCACTGTGCGGGGCTTGTTGAGCTTGTTCGCGTTTGTGATATAGTATAATCCTCTACGATATCTACACTGCGTTTACATGCGAATAAGGGCTGCTAGTTGTTCAGCTCTGCTCTGGCTGCGGGACAGAAGCTGCACCGGTGCCGTAGCCGCAGTTTCCACGGTGAAGGTGTACACACCACCACTGCGACCTTGTTGATCATGCGAGCTGCCGCCAAATGTACGAAAACGGCCACGACGACGACTACTGCTAGCGAGTAGCGAGGCGGAGAAGGAGTAACCACTGCTGCTGTTGCTGGTGGTCGAGAAAGATTCGGGAGCTGTTGCCGCCCAGGAGTCGAGGAAAGGAAAAGTCTAGTGGCGGAATTGAGCTGCGGTGGTTACCGAAAGACGGAGGAGAAGCTGGAGACGGCTAAGGCTGTGGTCAACGACGACGACGACGACCACCAACACGATAACAACGAGGAAGAGAAGGAGGCGGAAGAGGACAACGACGACGAAGACGCGGTGCAACTGTTGTTGCAACACCAAGTGGAGCAGCAGCTGCTCGTCGTCCTGGAGATGAATAAGACCGACGCAAACAGGCGCGTTCTGGCCATACAGGCCAAAAAAAAGCGCCACAAGCCCAGCAAGCGCAAGGGCAGAGGTAGTGGTGGTGGTGGTGGTGGTACTGGTGCTGGCGCCGCTCCTGAGAGACAGCAGCAGGCACAAGGGGATTCTGAGCAGATGCAACAACAGCTCCTCAACAAACAGCCTAGTAAACAGGGACTAACCGTCTTCTCTAGGACTTCTTTGGATTCATCATCAAAGTATCCTCAGAGTGACAGGCAATACTCCGGTGGCAATGGCAACAGGTATGTCGTGTTGGGATCTGTTTTCTTTCTGGAAGTGTCAATGGGGGAATAGAGGCTGTATGTGGGTTGAGACTTTAGTTGAGGTTGAGTTGTATTTATCCACAGATTGGTTAGGGGTGGTTTTAAAGATTTTACTGACAGAATTTTAGATAAATACAAGAAAGTTATTAATAGTGCACCCGTGTGAATACTATTTTTGTTCTAATTACAAATTCTGCATCGATTTTTACGTTTCGTTTGTTTTGAATGATGATAACATGGTTACTCAATGAAACATTTGATATTTACTGCTCATACACTTGAACAAACTTCGATAAACCTTTCTATGAACTAATAATAAATCAACGAGAATATTAAAAAAAAAAAAACTAATCAAAATGTAAATTAAAAGCGACTTTTAAACACGTGCCTCCATTTAATATAGACTCATCTCGCGATGAAAAATACAAATTTTGTTGTATTTTGCAAAATGTAAATCAAATTTTTTTACAATTTATTGGACATAACTTGATAGTTAATTCATGAAAAAACAATATAGAAAAAAGTAGTTCCTTTGAATTGATTATTTAAGACACCAAGTTATTGTTCCAATTGGAGCACACACCAACCAAATGTAAAGCTGATGAAGCAATTAATTTCAATTGCACTAAAATTACAATTCATCAACGTGCTGATTTAGCAACTAACTTCCAATGATTTCTTTCGAAATAAAGCAATAACTTTACGAACTTGATATTCAAAGTCCACGTGCTTAAAAAAAAACAATAATCATCATCTATAGATTAAGATACACATTGTTTTTCACGAAAAAAAAAAAATTAGCATTGATGAAAACGATCTTTAAACTGTTTTTTGATCAAATCTTTCATTAACTAGAATATAGTAATGATTTAAAAAAAAAATATTTTTTTTTTATTAAAACTAAGTGCATTTAAGTTATTTTCACAAGTTCCTGTCATAACTTAAAATGTTCTTACCCAAGTATCTAGTTATAACCAAAATATTTTTTAAATCTTTTCTGTCACAGTTGGTACAAAAAAAAAAATTTGAATACTTGGTCTTGAGAATTTAAAGCTTATGTCTGTATTAGAGTAAAACTCACACCACTTCAGCAGCAGAGCGATCTGTATTGAAAGCAGGTCTGACCCCACCCCCCTTTATTATGAATTTCGAATTATATGGAATTATACCAAGAGTACTACCTTTTGATTTACTAGTTGGCACCTTCTTCTCTCTGTCTTTCTAGACACGTAAATATTTTTAGATTAACTGGCTTTAGTCTGAAAATTTTTGAACTTGAAAAGTTGTCAATTCAGAAACTCTTTCGTTGGGATATGTTGTCCGTTAGTATAAAGTTTTCTACTCTCATTTTTCTTTATTTATTCATGAGATTGATAAAATCACATTACATGCGCACGTGCTACATATAATATATTCCACCCATTTTACCTTTTTTATCTGATTCTCTTTTTGCTCGAAATAACTATAGTTTGCTACAGAGGCGAGAAATTTTAACTCGATATCATGGCCAGACCACAAAGTTTCATTATTTATAACCATACGAAAAACAAAATTCTTGATTTTTCAGATTAGAGCCGTCACACAGTTCGAGTAACGAAACGATCGAGGACGAGGAAGAAGCTTACAGTAGCGAGGACGATGAACAGGAGGATAGTACCGATTATTGCAAGGGTGGCTACCACCCGGTTAAAATAGGCGATCTTTTCTTAAATCGTTATCACGTGACTAGAAAACTCGGCTGGGGACACTTCTCCACCGTCTGGCTGTGCTGGGACTTACAGGTATGAGTTTCTCTAATACACAACACCACGCGATACGCTCAAAAGAGCAGATGCATTAATGACCTCTTTTTTTACCTAACATACCTACGCGCAGCAATCAAAAAGGAGTTGGTGTCTCTCTTTCTCTCCAGGTCGTCATCACCAAGTCCGCGCGCGCGCTAACCGTGTATACCCATAACCCAATAACCCAATACCCATACTCTTACTGCAACTAGGAAGTCCAACCGTCCGACCACCGACGACGGCGTCTAGAGAGTATAGTTGAGTATTTTTCCAAGTTGTAAAAAGTTGTAGCTTTTTTTTTTTTTTTTTTTTTTACACGCCCCTCCCTACTTATAATATAAATTATACGTGTTTCACGCGCGCCCGCGCACGCATACACACGCACTGTGCGGGGCTTGTTGAGCTTGTTCGCGTTTGTGATATAGTATAATCCTCTACGATATCTACACTGCGTTTACATGCGAATAAGGGCTGCTAGTTGTTCAGCTCTGCTCTGGCTGCGGGACAGAAGCTGCACCGGTGCCGTAGCCGCAGTTTCCACGGTGAAGGTGTACACACCACCACTGCGACCTTGTTGATCATGCGAGCTGCCGCCAAATGTACGAAAACGGCCACGACGACGACTACTGCTAGCGAGTAGCGAGGCGGAGAAGGAGTAACCACTGCTGCTGTTGCTGGTGGTCGAGAAAGATTCGGGAGCTGTTGCCGCCCAGGAGTCGAGGAAAGGAAAAGTCTAGTGGCGGAATTGAGCTGCGGTGGTTACCGAAAGACGGAGGAGAAGCTGGAGACGGCTAAGGCTGTGGTCAACGACGACGACGACGACCACCAACACGATAACAACGAGGAAGAGAAGGAGGCGGAAGAGGACAACGACGACGAAGACGCGGTGCAACTGTTGTTGCAACACCAAGTGGAGCAGCAGCTGCTCGTCGTCCTGGAGATGAATAAGACCGACGCAAACAGGCGCGTTCTGGCCATACAGGCCAAAAAAAAGCGCCACAAGCCCAGCAAGCGCAAGGGCAGAGGTAGTGGTGGTGGTGGTGGTGGTACTGGTGCTGGCGCCGCTCCTGAGAGACAGCAGCAGGCACAAGGGGATTCTGAGCAGATGCAACAACAGCTCCTCAACAAACAGCCTAGTAAACAGGGACTAACCGTCTTCTCTAGGACTTCTTTGGATTCATCATCAAAGTATCCTCAGAGTGACAGGCAATACTCCGGTGGCAATGGCAACAGGTATGTCGTGTTGGGATCTGTTTTCTTTCTGGAAGTGTCAATGGGGGAATAGAGGCTGTATGTGGGTTGAGACTTTAGTTGAGGTTGAGTTGTATTTATCCACAGATTGGTTAGGGGTGGTTTTAAAGATTTTACTGACAGAATTTTAGATAAATACAAGAAAGTTATTAATAGTGCACCCGTGTGAATACTATTTTTGTTCTAATTACAAATTCTGCATCGATTTTTACGTTTCGTTTGTTTTGAATGATGATAACATGGTTACTCAATGAAACATTTGATATTTACTGCTCATACACTTGAACAAACTTCGATAAACCTTTCTATGAACTAATAATAAATCAACGAGAATATTAAAAAAAAAAAAACTAATCAAAATGTAAATTAAAAGCGACTTTTAAACACGTGCCTCCATTTAATATAGACTCATCTCGCGATGAAAAATACAAATTTTGTTGTATTTTGCAAAATGTAAATCAAATTTTTTTACAATTTATTGGACATAACTTGATAGTTAATTCATGAAAAAACAATATAGAAAAAAGTAGTTCCTTTGAATTGATTATTTAAGACACCAAGTTA